TTTATCTCACTCGTTTTGTCGAGGGCTTGCGGGCGGATATACGTGCAGTCGTGTTGATCCAACGACCGCCGGACCTGGGCACGACGTGCTCCCTGGCGCTGCTGCAAGAGGAGGTCATCGAATCGACGCAGCAAGCGCACCAGCCGCGGGCCACTCCGCGTGGTAGCGACGCCATGCTTCGACCGAGCACGCCACTCCCACTGCCTCCGCCACCACGACCAGCTCCTGCGGCTTCCCCAACACCCGCGGTGGATCGTCGTGGCGTGGATGGCGCTCACACCGACACCTCCAAGGTCAAGGCCTTGCGCGACTACCGACGCGCATGCGGTCTCTGCTTCAAATGCGGCGAAAGATGGGGGCATGATCATGTGTGCACCACGTTCGTGCAGCTGCACGTCATCGAGGAGCTGCTGGAATTGTTCAGCCTCGATGAAACCATGGACAACCAGCTCAACTCACAACGCAGACGACACGGTGATGGCTATATCTCGATCAACACTTTCAGGGGGAGTCTTTGCAAAAGCATTTCAACTGCAAGCATGGATCCAGGGCAGGGAAGTTCTGATGTTAGTGGACTCGGGCAGTTCCACGTCCTTCGTCAACAACAAGCTAGCAGCATTCCTGGAAGGGGTCGAACCACTACTCATTCCATACAGAGTTCGTGTAGCTGATGGAGGCGAGCTCAAATGCTCTTCTGTGACTCCCCAATGCTCATGGTGTTCTCAGGGACACGAATTTCAGACTGATATGAAGGTGTTACCACTCGGCATATACGATGCAATACTGGGAATGGATTGGCTCAAGGAGCACAGTCCAATGACAGTGGATTGGAAGGCCAAGCATATTGCAATTCCATCAGATCAAGGATCAATTTCGCCGAGGGTCCATGACACTGAGTCGACAGAATGCTTGATCATCAATAGCCTACAACTGCGGGGACTCTGCAACAACAATGTCGTGGCTTACATGGTACAGCTGCACGCCATCACATCAAATGGAGAGCCGGCTGCTGCCACGCCTGACTGCATCCAAGCAATACTTGCAGAGTTTGAAGATGTGTTCGGAGAACCATTTGAGCTACCCCCCGGCGTACTTGTGACCACAAGATTCCCTAATTCTAGGGGCGCAACCTTTTAACATTCGACCCTACAGGCACAAGCCAGAGCACAAGGACGAAATAGAGAGGCAAGTTGAGGAACTCCTCCGCAGAGACATTATTCAGCGCAGTTCGAGTCCTTTCTCTTCTCCAGTGATCCTAGTAAAGAAGAAAGACGACACGTGGACGTTATGTGTGGACTACCATCGCTTGAATGCCCTCACATGTGTGGCCAAGTTTCCAATACCAATCATCGAAGAACTGCTAGACGAGTTGCACGACGCTCAATGGTTCTTGAAGCTGGATCTCCGTGTTGGGTACCACCAAATCAGGTTGGCCGAAGGGGAAGAGTACAAGACAGCTTTTCAGACTCATTCTGGGCATTTCGAATTCCTAGTGGTCTCATTTAGCCTCGCAGGCGGTCCAACCACCTTCAATGGGGCAATTCATTTCACCCTGAAGCCTCTCCTGCGACACTGTGTGCTCCTGTTCTTTGATGACATACTAGTTTTCAGTCGGACACTGAAAGATCATCTGAACCATTTGCGCCAAACTTTGGAGTTGCTTCAGCGAGACCACCGGAAAGTCAAGATGAGTAAGTGCTCGTTTGGTCAGCAGCAACTGACATACCTAGGACATGTCATCAGCGCGAAAGGGGTCGCCGCTGACCCAGGAAAGATTCAGTCAGTTGCAAAATGGAAAGCCCCTACAAACATTAAGGAAGTCCGCAGTTTCCTGGGGCTTGCCGGATACTACAGAAGATTCGTGCACGACTTCAGGATCATTGCCAAGACACTATCCCACCTCCTCAAAAAGGGCGTGCCGTTTGTATGGACACAAACGACGGAAGAAGCTTTCCAGTTGCTGAAAATACAGTTGATCTCAACTCCAGTGCTCGCACTACCAGACTTCACTAAGCCATTCTCAATAGAAACAGACGCGAGTGAACACGGCATTGGGGTTGTTCTGCAACAAGAAGGCCACCCTATAGCATTCATGAGCAAGGCATTGGCACCTCGCTATCAGGGATTGTCAACTTATGAAAAAGAGTATTTGGAAGGATAGTAGCAGTTGACCAATGGCGGCCATATCTTCAGCACAGCGAATTCACAATCCATACAGACCAGAAAAGCCTTGTTCACCTCGAAGAGCAACGTCTATCTACCCCATGGCAGATAAAGGCTTTCACTAAGCTATTGGGTCTTCAGTACACCATCAAATACAAGAAGGGGAAGGAGAATACGGCAGCGGATGCCCTCTCTCGTGCCGAACCAGATGAGATCCTGACCCCAATCACCTCCTGCCAGCCAGCATGGTTGGAAGATATCCTGACCAGCTACAACGCAAATCCTCAAGCACAGCGGCTATTGGAACAGCTAGCAATTCGCCCAAACCCGAAGGAAAGATTCACTCTCACTCAAGGGTTGCTCAGGTTCAGAGGGCGAATTTGGCTGGGTGGGTCCACAACTCTCCAATAGAAGATTATTGTAGCATTTCATGACAGTCCCATGGGGGGACATTCAGGCATCCCAGCTACGTACCGACGCATCCGACGACTCTTTGCCTAGCCAAAGATGAAAACCCATGTGCACAACTATATATGTTGTTGCTCCATATGCCAGCAGGCCAAGCCGGATCGAGCTGCAAGCCCTGGACTCCTAAACCCACTCCCAATACCAACTGCACCCTGGGACATGATTACTATGGATTTCGTCGATGGCCTGCTGCAATCTGGAAAATTCAACTGCCTATTGGTCAATGTGGAGAAGAGGACGAAATTTTCCCACTTTCTGCCTCTAGCACACCCCTACACGGCATCAAAAGTGGCTCTTCTTTACATGAACCAAGTATACAAGCTTCACGGTCTGCCTGGAGCCATTGTCTCTGACCGTGATTCGGTCTTCACCAGCCACTTTTAGCAAGAACTCTTCAAGTATGCGGGAACAAAGCTGCCGCTGAGCACGGCTAACCACCCGCAGACAGACGGCCAAACGGAGAGAGTCAACCAATGCCTGGAAACTTATCTTCGTTGCTTCACGCACACTTGCCCTCGACGCTGGAGCTTCTGGATTCCACTTGCCCAGTTTTGTTACAATTTGACCCATCACTCGGCGATCGGAATGACGCCTTTCAAAGCCCTGTTTGGTCACGAACCCAGGCACTGGGGGTATCTCAGCATCATCTTCATGTTCGGTACCGGCCCTGCAGTCGTGGCTGGAGGAGCGCCAAGTAGTGCAACAACTCCTTCAACAACACCTCAACCGCGCACGCCAGTGCATGAAGGCTCAAGCAGACAAGAAACGTTCATGGCGCCAATTTGAAGTGGGCGACAAGGTATTCCTCAAGCTACAGCCATACATTCAAACATCGGTTGCACCGCGTGCCAACCACAAGCTATCGTTCAAGTTCTTCGGGCCCTTTCCCATCATCGCCAAGATCAACGAGGTCGCCTACAAGCTCCAGCTACCTCCAGACGCCACCGTGCACCCGGTCTTCCATGTGTCGATGCTCCGGCGTGCACTACTCCCAGGTACGGAGGCTAATCCAGAACCCAAAAATTGATCAAGACATGCTGGCAGTGCCGGTGCAGATTCTACAGTCACGTTGGTGCAAAGGAACGGGCGGCATGGTCGAACAGGTCAAGGTTCGCTGGTCTCAAGGCGACAAGGTGGACTCAACTTGGGAGGACAAAGCTGCACTCCAGGCCCACTTTCCACACGCAAAGGCTTGGGGGCAAGCCTCGACACAAGGAGGAGGGATGTCAGCACCACTGACATACCGGGCCCGCCTGTCAACCACGCTAGACTGGAAGGAGGCCGACCCCAGAGCGTGACCAAGGCCAGCACCCGCATCTTTGGGCCTGACTGGACCCGTTGAAGCCCAGTCACCCCACCTACTTAACCAAGGCAGGCTGATGGAGATAGGCATCCAGAGGATCCCGGCTCGGCGGCGGCAAGAACCCTAGTTTCCTATCGTTCCTCTTCCATTCGTGTAACCAGCTTGTAATCGAGACTGAGAACCATACTTAAGGCAATAGTTCGATTCCTCCCATCCTTGTCCTAACAAACACACACTCACTCCACAGCCCAGGTACATAGAACAGGCCGCAAGCCTCGAGCTCACTCACTGACAGTTGGGGTCGTCCCGTCTCCTTCATCTTCTGCTGGTGGAGCCTCCTGCCAGGCATGACATCGTCTCGCCACCATCGCCCACACACCTAGATTGAACCGTAGGTTGGGCTAGGGAGACCCAAACTCCACTCCAAAGGGGGGTTCCCCCACCTCGCCGGTGCCCGAAGGCACCCAGAGGCGAGGGGAACTGGTGATGGCGGCTGCACGAACGAAAAACCCTAGCCACCTGAGATTTCAGGAGAGGAGATGCGTACAGGTTAAATTTTGCACTCTTTGAATTGAGACAAAGTTTATATGATTTCTTTTGGGAGCGGAGGGGGTATGCTGCAATCCCAAACGGTGACCATGTGAGAAAATTTTACGTTCTGAGTTTTCTCTTACTCAACAATATCAGTCTGCTATTCATGGCAGTTTACAATCGTAAAAATTCCAAAACATATAAGCATCAATTAAACATCAGTGGGCGCGCAGACAACAAAATGTTTTGCCCAAGTTACAACACACCCTTAGATCCCACACGACATCATTGTACAATGTTGAAAACATCTAATAGGAAAGAATAGGGGCAAGCAATTTTGTATCCAAACATACAGTTTACAATGCTTGAGACTGAAAGTAATACTACTCGTATATCATAACCTGACACCTAAGTTATAGTGACACACAACACACGACCATGATGGTACACGGTCTAAACTGCATTGTGGAAAGTGTTCGCTTGCTAGAAGCTTCCATAATCCGGTCCGGGAAATAGATTGGCGCTAGGCTCCGGTTCAGGGATAAATATCATCGTGCCATGTCGATGGTCCAACAGCATGGTTAGGTGGATTCTCAGAGTAATGGATGGCATGCATGCTTTCTTGGACTTGCGTAGGACCGAATAATTGTGGCAGGAGGTTGTGCTGAACAAAGGTTGATGCCTGCATGACACCTCCGCCATCCATGGACATGGGAGCTTGCATCTGGCTATGGATGTTCACTTGACCTGATCCTGGAATTGGGAGAGTAAAATGTGAGTCATCTATCAGGTTTATTCAGGTTTGTTCATGGTTCATGCAGAGAACGATTGCTCACTTTCGTAGGGCCAGTGAAGTAATTCACCAGTGAAAATTGTAGGTTGCTGCTGACCAACTGCTAGAATACTTTCTCCTGAAAAAAGGCCAAAATGAGCATAAGTCGCTGAAACTGCAAGGAGTCCATGAGGAAACAGAGGATAAGAGGGGAACAAAGCAGCAACAACTATGTACCTTGGAAATAATGTGCGTTAACTGTGCTCTGATCACCATGAATATACTCGTTCTGGTGAGATGGTTCAGTGATATTGTTGATCCTATCCTGCAACTGGTTTTCGTTTGCTGCAGTTCCTCAAAAAGACCAATTTAAGCTCCATAGTTCAGGCCATCGCATAGTCAGAAATTTTAAGACATGGGAAGGGTAAGAAAACGTGTATCTAACTAACGTTGAAGCGCGACATCCGGACCAAGAATGAATGCATCCAGAGTAAAATGAGTGCTAGAGGGAACTTGTTCAGGAAGATCGCCATTCATCACATAGTCAAACGGAAGACTGTCCAACTGATGGCGCGCACACTCTTTCAACTCGTACGCTTGAGCCTGCGATGAGAAAATGATATCTTCAACTTGTTTGACTTCCACATATGGTCCAAATATTAGATGATTGTGTTGAGAATGTACCTTCTTAGCCGGATCAAAATTGTCCCGTGAAATGTAAACACCATAAAAGACTGCTCCAACAAGATCATGCACGCAATTGAGGAAGATCACCACAGTCCCCTCTACATTGCGATATGCTTTGAGCTCCGGCTTGTCTGCGAGGCAGCATTCTCTGGCATGCTTAATCATTCTTTCCCAAGCATTACTGCGCTTCTTGATCTCGAGGACCTATATGTAAAGAAATCGAAACGACAACATTATTCACCATGAGAAAATAGCACAACAACTTCTAAAAAGAGTGAGAAAAAACAATTGATTTTAGGGGAGATTTTATACCGTTTCACAGAGCTCATCTGCGTCCTTGTTCAAAGCCTTCAAGAAGTCCTCCACTGTGAAGATATGAGCATTCTTAAGCCTCCTGTGGTAAATTCCATCTCTGGAGATCTCTTCCAGGCGATACACTTCATCATCCAATCTGGGAGGGTGCCTCTTCTCATTTGCTGAAGCAAACAAAGATTAAAAAGAAAACTGTAATGGGGGTCCAATAGAAACAAAGAACATGCTGACTAGCAACAAAAGTCTTTTACCTTCATTCCTACGATCCAGCACAGTGACCGGCTCCATGACAGCTTCCTGGACTCGAATACCACCGATCTTCCTGTTCATGCATACTCTTCCTCCGACGATGAACTTCCTACTGGGAGTCCTGGATGATCCTTCTCTGAAGCGGATTTTTCCCAATGACGCCTCCCCATTGTTCAACCACGCACTGCAATCGCCCCCCAGCACTGACCCTTGCCTGTGCCGGCCTTGCGCTATGTGGCTGTTAAACTCCTCTTCAGTCCAGCTCTCCTGACCATCACTGCAGAAGTCGCCACGGAGAACCAGGATCTCAACTTTCGCCTTCGAAAGCGGGCCTTCACTGATCATTTTGTCACCATCAAAGACGCCAATCCTGATAGCCGCATTGCTCTCAGAGGCTATAATCTTGTCTGTGTAAATTGGAGTCTTCAGGCCATCCAGGAAACGCAGGCGAATGTTGGCGTTCGGTTCACTCAAAGTGGCACCCTCCTGATATGGTTCTGATCTGAAACAGGAACATGAATGACATTGTGATGTAGTTGTTGTTCAGTTGGCATTTTTGAATTTAACATCCACATACTACTTTGTTCCTATAGAGCAACATCGGATAGGTACTGCTATAGGACAATGCGAGAACTGAAACTAAAATGTATATAATTAATTGTATTTTGATTACTGTACATTTGTAGAATACTATTTACTATTAAATATGGATAGCATGCATGGTGCATGTTAAGATGAATTTTTTCCCATGCATGATGACACAGTGAGATGACATAGTTGCATGTTGATAGAATTAGAGTTAGTGGGGATCAACTATTTAGGTATATATATAGAATGATAACTCACCAAAAGGCTAGATAATGGATATTAACATTTCAACATGAGACTAAGTATGACGGAGGAAACTATCGAGCATTGCAATTACAGATCTGTTACCTTGGGTGTTTATCGGCGTGTCTATTGGAATGCAAACGTGCCAATTTCTTCTGCAATTTTTACATGGCGAATACAATGTGAGCAACAAATATATTATACTATCAAATAAGGATGAACATGCAAAGAAATTATTTTAAGGAATATGAATCTAACCACTTCATGGCTCATGCTCTCCACCTTTTCCTCTAAATTTTCCAATTTGCTAAGACCAAAGATAGCAAAATTATAAAAAGAAGCACGGGTAAGCCTTTTATTTATCTCAAAAGTAAATAACAACAAAACATGCAAAGCTTGCATATTTTCATTGAGAAAGTACGGCAAGTTGAAGAAATCATGGAAATACATCAAGAAATAAAAGGATATAACTATACCTAGTAAGTTACTTGTTAGGTTTTTATGCCCCTTCACATGTTGACAAGGTCTCCAATGTACACCCTTGATTATTCAAAAATAAAAGCCGGCTTAATCTTTATCTTTATTTGCAAGTGATTCCTAAGGCCTGGGATGTAGTATCACACACTGATACTCCCCATTGTGACCAGCCTAACAAGAGGGGTTAGTGCGTTGGCTCCCCATAACTGCCTCTATTTTGTTGTGGGCGATCTTTTATGGGTTTTCATTTCCATATGAGTTTCGTGTGTTTTCTTTCTTTTTTGTCCATTTCTAGTTTCATATTTTTTTTATTAATTTGTATAGCCCTACCTTTTAAGAAATCATTTTTTTTGTTTTTTCTGTGCCATTTTGTTTGTTGATTTTCAGTGTCACCGTTTTATCTTCTATTTTATTTTCAAGCATGTTATTTGGTTTATATTGTTTTTTATTTTTCTTAATTATGTATCATGTTTTTGCTTGTTTCTATTTCCTTTTGTACTTTTCATGTGTTGCACCTCATAATTCCAATTAATAATTTTTCACTATATGAACTTTACCATCTCTAGTGGAACATGTGGCATTTTAACTAGTTACATGATTTTTTTTTCTTAAATACATGAATATAATTAAAAAATGGTACAATTGTTTTTATCAAAGTAATATTACATGTGGCGAAATAAATATTTTTCTAAGACATACATGACATTTTTTATATAAACATATTTAGATTAGAACAATTATGTGAACATTCTCTTTGAAAGACAAGAACTGTTTTTCAATAGATGGTTGAACATATTTCAATGCATTGTATGTACAAAACATTTTCCAAAAATTCTCTTTTATAAGTGATATTTTTATTGCCAAAGCTAAATGGTACGAAAACAGGAAGAAAATCTTAGTGGAAAGTCAAGTCCATAATTAAACACTTGCTTTTTTTTTGAACCGGGCTTATCCCCTTTTCATTAAAGATATAACGGAAATACACCAGTCCAGAGTTTAATAGGAAATGGGAAAGAAGGGGAAAACGAGCTCAAGCACTACTAGGAAAAACCTACTGCACACGCTCGTCATCGACACGTATGCTATGGGGCAAAAACCTAACAACACCCGAACAAGCAAGACTAGACTATTACAGCATAACCCGAGCACTGCTAGACCTATCACAGCGTAATTAAACAGTTGCTAGAAGATAGTAATGAGAAACGGCTGCCATATCTTTTGAAGCGAAAATTAGAACACAAGAGCATAACAGAGAAATGATCCTCACCGCATCATAAGAGCCTGAACCTTCTGAATCCCTTCCATCTTCCTCTGAACCTATACAAGCACAAAGAAACAAACAAAATTATCATTGGCACCCGGTGAAGTACTAGTGGTTACAAAATTCCAGCAAAAACGGGTACTCGTGCACACGCGCGCGCGCGCTCACCATGCGACCAATCTGGGAGATGCTTTCCGTCACCGTGATCCCGTCGCTCCTGCACGCACCGATTCGCGGGGAAAGAAGAGTTAGAAATCAAGAAACGGAGCTCGACGTGCACCCGATGGATAGAGAAGAAATATATATCGAGCGGGCAGATGGGGATGGAGGCACGCACATTCGCAGTAGAAAGAGCACGACGAGCACCGTCCGCCGCATGAGCCGCGTCCCCGGCGACGCCGGCGATGTCGGCGCCTGCCAGCCGGCGGCGCTGGCGTTGGCGACCCCGACGCGCAGGCGCTTCGCCTCCTCCCGGCCTGCGCCGGCGCCCGTCAGAGCCAGCTGCCTCTTGGGCGGCGCCATGGCACCAACGAATCGTTCCTCTCTCACACACACACACTCTCTGGTACCAACTTCTTGCACGATAGCAGCGGCGGGAGGAACAGGAAGGGGGGTAATGGGCTAGTCTCCTGTGGAAGAGGAAGAAAATGGATCGGCGCCGTTCAGCTCACGCCACCACTGGGTTTTATGGGCGGCCATTGAGATGTAGAGCGCGACGTGGAGGATTAAGGATAATTGTTTCGCTCTCCACCGACTCCGAGCGTGTTTCGACGGATTTGGTAGGTGAGAGCTCGAGGGGGGACGACTGAGGAGCAAGTCAAGCACTCAAGCAGCCCCACTTCACTTCACTCGCCTTCTTGCTGCCGCGGGCGGCCGAAAGCGCGGGGAGTCTCGCTTGTTTCGTTCGTGGACGGCTGGACGCGCATGATTCGCTACCCGCGGCCAAGTCCGGAAGACACGTACGTACGAGAAAACCGATCGATGCGGCAATGCCGCCCTTAATTTCTCTCTCTTGAGTCTTGCAAGATTCCTCTCTCTCGCCCTTAAGTTTCTTCTTCCCTTTTTCTCCTTTTTGATGAAAATTCGTGTTCCTTGGTTGCAACATCTCTTTTAGAGGTTTTGCTATTTTTCAGGTACAAATTTTTTGTTGCGTTAGTCACTTTTTTCTTCTTCCGGAGCGCATGAGTTGGGAGGCCAGACCTCACTGGAAAAAACCAATCCCATTATCTATCTTAGGGGGAAGTCATAGCCTCATTATTTTTCTTAGGGGGAAACCACAACCGCATTAACTATCTTAGTGGTGGAGGTGCAGGGCATCATTGGAGTTTTGAACAGGTGGCGCGGGGCTCAGAGGGATGGTCGGAGCGGCGGTCAGCAACGGCGGTGGGGGGAGGTTGAGGGCAAGGCGGTGCACGGTACCGCCCGTCGACCACAGGGGTGGAGGCAAGCGGATGGGATGGGGTAGGCTGCGGGGAGGAGGAAATGTCGTGCGGGGGGAAGAAGACGGGGGAGAAACAAAGATGAACATGGCGCAACATGATTGAGGCTGTTGGATATTGATCGGATGGTCAGGAAAGAAAGTGACTGATGGCGTGCGGTTGCCGTGAAAGAGGAGGCGCCCGCTCCAGTGATCGCTAATGCACGCTGCCGCCTCCTCTACTACCTCGGACGAAACAGTGGCACCTCCTCCTTGAGCACCAAGATGGTGGCCGTCAAGGCGACATCCGAGGAGGAGCACTTCGGGCGGCGCAACATGGAGCGTCGTTCGACCTTCATGACATACAATGTGGCGTCGGACTGGGTGCGCACCAACCCGGACCTCTCGTTGGTCTGGGTCGAGGATCGGTTCAAGACCACCGCGCAGAAGTTCGCCCGCCTCCGACGCTGGATTAGCGACCAACTCTACAAGATTGGTCTGGCCAAGTTCAAGCGTGCAGCTTGTGCCCTTGTCGGCAAGAGCAATGGTGGGCGACGTGGGCCGGGGTCCGCACCTGACTGTCACCGCTAGCCGGATGTTTGCGATCGATTGCGTGAGGTGGAGCGGTTCGCCGTAAGAATGCATCGGCGGCCAATCAGGGCTGCCGCGATCCCTGGGAGGCCGTTCGCCGTCGGAAGGACGACGACAACAACAAGGACGACGCTGCCGACGGAGGTGCCAGTGGCCTCGGAGGCCATGCCCACGAGGTCACTGCCCGGTACTTCACGTAGTTTTATTTATTTGTTTATTTTAGTTGAACTTGTTAAATAACGTACGAGACACGCGGGCGAATGAGGAAAAGAGGCGCAATCCTCCCCCTCCTCCCCTCCTCCCGCGCATTGCTCCCACGAGCGACGGGGGGTAACCCTAGCCGCCGGGCCTCCAGTCCCCTTCCTCCTTCCTTCTCCCGTCGCCTCAGCGCCGCGGCGAGGTTTGGCCTTGCAGCGGCCTTCCTGTGACATGTCGACTACACGGTAGTTTGGCGGTCTCGGCTACAGAGACGCCTAGACTCTACTTCGGCGTCAGCTCGTCTGCGAGCGGATCGGTTTGTCCTTCGATCCTTCTCCTCGTTGTGCGTGTGCTGCCTCTGCCGGAGGGCTGGTCCGCTCCTAGTCGATGTCCACCACTGAGGGGCGACTTCGCCACCAGGAGGGCCGCAGGGCCATCTTTGCCTCCCGTCGGTGATGGGGTTCCACCGAGGAGCTCGCCCCTTGCCCAGGAGGGGCAGGACGGGGTGGTGGTGGCCGCTTCTGGTCAACCCAGGGGTGGGTTTCGTGGCTTGGGGGCGCCCAGGAGTGGTGAAGGGTCTTTTCCGCTCGTCTCTTCAGTCGTCGTAGTTGCACGTCTCCGGTTGGATGGTGTCGGGGTCTTGGATGACGGGGTGCCGGCCTTGGTGGTGGTAGCCGTGGTACTCGTGGGTGGAGATCGTGGTTCAGGTGGCTGACATGGTCGTGGGGGGGTGGCGTGGTGGTCAGGGTGCGATGACTGGCGGCGGTGGTGCAACGAGCGGCGGCTTTGTGTACCCTGTCTGGGTGATGAGGAGGGTTTTCCGGGGTGAAACCCCATTTGGCCCTGCCAGGTCGATCGCGGCGGCGTCTATGGTGTTGTCCCCTTCTTGAAGGCATCGTCGCGGTTCCTCTTCGTTCCCCTTGATGCTCTGGGGAAAACCCCGATCCCTGGATCGGACGGTGGCGACTCTCGTAGTCGTATCCTTCCTGAAGGCGTTGTCTTATAGCTCCCGGTTCGTCTTGCTTGGCTTCTCTTCGTTCGGAGAGGTCCTCGAAAGCATAAAGCGGTGCACTTTCTTCCTAGCTGTAGTTTACTTGGAGTGGTAGGGTGTTTTTAGCTGTTCGTTTCACACTTATATCTTACCTTGAGTGTGTGTGCTGCGGTGTCGAGTGCTGTGTTGAGATGTATGCTGGATTGGTCGTTGCTTTACATATAACGGGTGTGAGCTTTTTGGTGTTAAATAACGTCCGGTTTGCATATAATATATGAAACCTGCTTATATTTTTGTCCATTTGTGCATAGGATTGTATAGTCGCTCCCCTATCCGTTGTCCACAGACACGTTCGGACATGTCTGCGAACGTTTAGGGTGTATGCTTTGATGCACGGCGTTGGAGATGCATGTATTTTTATTCTATTAGAACAAAGCGCGTATATTTTCTCACTCTATCACTGTAGTATTTGGAAAAACCATAGTGTCTTCAGCACCGTGGATTTTTTTCATATCATGTGCGTAGGCGGTATTATCTTCTTTTTTCTGCAATATTTGAAACGAGGCTTCAATATTTTTTCTAAACTGACTGAGAATTTTTTTGGTTTTTAGAAATTGAAGCATTCATTTGTCAAACTTTAGAATGCCGAGATTTCAGATTTCATACGATTTTGAAGAAACAATGCTGCTAATCTAGACCTTTTATTAATCTTGTATTGCGCATTTGCGCGTGCATATTTCCACACAGAAAGGGGAGCGGTTTTCACAGAAGATGGCAGGGGCTAACACGCCCAAGCATAAACTACAAAAAGTGTCGCTGTTATATTTGTCTCTTGACACGGCATGATTAGTCATTCTGATGGCTCCATGTCCATGCTACAAGTGCAACTGTGCGATGATTGCCTGGAAAGGACAACTGCGTGGTTTTGTCAACTCGAGTGCTTGCCTTCCAATCAGGTTTCATCAGGTAAATTCTGTTTAGTTTTTGCATTGCAAATACGACTTGTACAGCAAAGGCCACGTGGCATATGACGCGTGTCGTCCGTTCCTGCGCACAGCGATCTGGACTCAGACGTACGTAGTGACAACACCACGGAGATTCCCATGGAGAGGTGCAATCCGATCTCAAAGGGTGGCCCGTCGAAGGTTCGCCGGCCGAAACACCTCGGCGGCTTTGGAATTCACAGGCTGAACGAATGAATAACCTTCGTCACCTCGCAGCCAAAATAATATTTCAGGCAACATCCGCGAAAATTCACAAGGCGCACACACCTATGAGGCCCAGCATCACCTCTCGTTTGCGTCGTGAATCGTGCATTTGTGTGCACTAAAAAAATGTTAAAAACATAGTTAATTCTTGTACCCCGTGAATACATGCTAATACGTTTCAATATACATGTCGGTGTCATACTGATATGCCATACATATTCTTTCCTTTTGGAGTACGGGTGAACCTTACATGTCGGTGTCATACTGATATGCCGTACATACTTCTTTGCTTCATGTGCATCTCTTTCCTCCCATCTCTGCAGTTCGCGTCCATCTCTGCATTCTTACTCCAGACGAACTCTTCTTTCTTCTGTACATCCACATTGTTCTTCGATGTTTCTCATATGTTCCTTTTTATTTTCTTCGCTTTCACATAATTTCTTTGCTTCGCTACTTCACCTACTATGGGTATTGTTTCCATTGTCAATATGGGATTTGAGCGGAGTTTGATGGATTAAAGTTACAATTCAACAGGTAATTTTCTCTTTTACTCTTTCTGTTTCGCTATTGTTCTTGCTTACTTGACATGCCCTCTCATATCTTTCTACATCCCATTTTATCCGTGCAGATTTGCGGACTTTATATCATCTATTGAAAACCCTTCTTCACCATCTATTCTGCCTCATGTATGTGCGAACAATTTGGGTGTTACTGAACTTCATCTTCACACGATTCTCCATCAGTAAGTGAGGATCATGGTCTTCTTTCCGAAGAAACTTTTTTTTTACAGATCCACAGATTTAGATTGACCAATATGTTCCTTCTCACGATTCACCAACCATGCAATTACCAGATTCTTCGGAACACACCGATCAATATATTATGTGATTCCAAAATCTCTTTATTTCATAGTAATTGTTTATTTGTGCCAAGTTACGTCATCTGAAACTTCTTCTACTTAAGTTTCATTTGTTGTCCTTAACGTAATTGTGTATTGCGCCTTTTTAGTCTTGTGCATTGTGGTCTCTATGAGTCCTCTTGTGACTGCAACTTCCTCTGATACACCTCTGTCAGTTAGGAAAGCATACAACAGATTGTCTGGACATTTTTGTCGGTA